TGTAATTTCATAATTCAATTTCAGAAATTATTGTGCAATTGTCTGTGATCAAAATGAATGATCTTTCAGGGGGCTGGACAGGATAAGCTTGGCATTTTTATCAAATCTGTCGTCCAGGGAGAAGCAGCAAATGAGGTCAGTATCATTGCGTAAATAACAAAAGTCATAATGTGCCTGTTTGCATCATATTATATACACTGTTGTGTTTTGATGAAGGACGGCAGACTGAATCCAGGAGATCAGTTACTGAGTGTGGATGGCAAAAGTCTTGTGGGTGTGTCACAGGAAAGGTGAAATAATCTTCATATAATTTAGTCATTCAGTGTTTTTGAGCCTCTTATGTTGTGTGGCAGGCATGACTAGATCTGTTGCACGTTTGGAAGTAAAACTGATTTTAATGATCCTATTCAGGGCTGCAGAGATAATGATGCACACTGGGTCGATCGTATCACTGGAAATTGTCAAGTCAGCAGCTGTATATTATGGTTTTGAGGGAGTATTTACCCAGTCGCCACAAACAACATGTAAAGGCAGTGAATGCTGAGCACACAACATTACAATACGCATTGCACTGCACTACAAAAATGATTTTCTTACTTAGTATTTTTGCCTTGTTTTACAGTACACATATCTAATTATTCTTAAATCAAGATAAATTAGCTTGAGAAGCAAAATGACAAGATAGTAAGTCTTGTTTTCTAAAAAAAAGGATAAAAATGAAGTGAAATTCAGCTAAAATAACTGCAAATGCAGTAAGAAAAATAAACTTGTTTTCCATTTGAATTAAGTTTATTTTTCTTACCCCACTGGCAGATATTTTTTATCTTGTTTTAAGCTCAAGCTCAAACTCACTTCATTTTGATATATTTTTGGAAAACAAAGCTTAATACCTTAAGTCATTTTGCTTCTTAAAGGGATAGTTCACCCTAAAATGAAAATTAGCCCATTATTTACTCACCCTCAAGTCATCCTAGGCGTATATGACTTCCTTCTTTCAGATGAATCCAATCGGAGTTATATAAAAAATTGTCTTTGGTCTTCCAAGCTGTTTAATGGCAGTCAGTGGGTGTTGCAGTTCATCAGTCCAAAAGAAGTGAAATAAAGAGAATCCATCCATAATAAAAAGTGTCTCACACGGCTTTGGGAGGGGGGGGTGAACAAAGGCCCGGCGCATGCGCAACGCCGACGTCCTACGTCATCAGCCCGGAGCTGCTTCCGTGCACAACAGTGAGCGCAAGCTAGATTAAATTGATTATTACGTTTTAAATATGGTTATTTTTCTTACAAAAACGCATCAATTTGCTACAGGAGGACTTTGTTCTCCCTCCAGAGCCGTGTGAGGCACTTTTTATTATGGATGCATGTGCTTTATTTCACTTCTTTTGGACTGATGAACTGCAACTGATGAACTAACCATCTAAGGTCATGTATTTTGATTTTAGAATGTTTAGATATTTGTGCTGGAAAACAAGACAAAATACTGAGTAAGAAAATCCTATTTTGCAGTGTGAACCTTTTGAAATACTTAAATGCACTCAATATTTGTATAGCCAATATATAATCTATGGCTTTGATCATATGCATGCTTGTTTCACATTTGTTAGATCATGATAACGATGGACCATCCAAGCAGAAATCCAGTGTCTCTGATCTTCATGACAGTGCTGAACCGTCTGTTTCTGGTCCATCAAGACCATTAGAAACCTTTAGAAACCAGCACACAATCAGCAGAGAGAACACGAAACAAAACCAGAAATGGCTCAAGCAGAAACTGGATTATCGTTCCAGTCCCAACCTGGCATGTGAGTGTTTATATTTACACCTCATTTTTTGTTTGTTTTTGGTTTGTTAAGCTCTTTTTAATTCAATCTCCATCAGATAACCAGGAAATGCCTGTTGATTCAGTTCCTCCTGAAAAGATGACATTATCCTTCTCCATTGAAAATCTCATGGATTCTGTAAGTACAGATACATGTTTTTTGTTTATTAAGATAATCACCTTTATGAACAGTCCCATGTTTTTTACTATTGACCTCATTATTTCACTTGTCACCCCAGGGGAAACAAAGAAACACTCTTTCAAATGCAGAGACTTTTCACAGAGAATATCTGACCCTGCCAACATCCAAACCACACAGCAATAAAACACCAAGAACCACCAAACATCCTCCACATATTGCACCAGTCTCCAGGGATCAGCAAAAGAGCAACTTTATGGTATTTGTGTGTTGCATTTCCTGTCTTTGTTCTGTCTGTTTTATTGCTGTGTTTGATATTTGTGCTTCCATAAGCTTTGCATGAGTTTGTTTGAAAGCAGAATCACCTGCCACATAGGGGAAGCCGGGGTTAGTTGTCACACATTTTACTCCACTGTATATTTCTCAAGGTTTCTGTATAGACACAAACATTTAAGTCTTGACAGAAAAAAGCTTGTGAACACGTCCACTGTTATTGGCCCTTAAAATCTGCAAATGGTAGTAAAGAGATATATACAAAAACATAATCCAATTTTTTTTTTTGCCAACAGATTAACTATAATAATAGTTATTATTATCAGGGTGCGATTTGTTAAAAAAAAAAAAATCAGAGGGGGGATATTTGAACAAGAATGTAATCATTCAGATTTTAATGTCTAAATTTAGAATATAAATGTACAAACAGTGTAATTCAAATAAAATGAACAGTAAAATACAGAAAATAATGGTTTAAAGTGAATTAACTAAATGAAATGCATTTTTAACAGCTTATTGACTATATCTAGGATAAGACTAAGATCACGTTTTATATTAAAAAAATATATAAATTATATATTAAAAGGCTTTATCCATTTTCTTTTTAATGTAGAAACAGGCACTTTCTCAAGACAATCTCTGGAGTGAAGAGAAAGGAGGTCCTCTAGTGGACAGACCGAGTTATTTCAAGAAGCAGCCAGATCTGAGCAAATGGAACAGTATTGCAACCATAAGCCCAATGGATTCCAGTTTATCCAGCCTGGGACACAGAAACGGACTCTGGAAGATCCCGACAACAACCCAGTTCGTGCCTCTATCACAGCCGAAACGAATGGACGTCCCATATACACCACAAGCCAACAGTCTTTCATTCAGTACGTTCCGCCAGCCTGTGGAGACCCAAAGTATGTCTCCAGCACACCATCAGTATCAAAAACAGAACAATGCATCACCATCTCAAAGACCACAGCAGGTTCTCAAGAAAAAAACAGTCGTCTTCCAATCATCTGCGCAGACATGGCAGAACAGCTCAGCCTCATGTCTAAGTGCGAACCCTCAGCAGAAAGGGCCCGATAAGATCAAAAAGCTCTCTGTTGGAGATTCGTGGAAGCGGGATGCTCAGGATAAGCAACAGACTGCAGACCTGCTGCAACAGGAAGTACAACAGCTGCAGGCTAAAGTGCAGCGCAGCATAGAGGAGAGTGAACGTCTGCGCAGACTCTCTCTAGAGCTGCAGTTCCAGAAGAGACTGGAGGAGTTCCAGCAGAATGGTGAAGAGGATGATGATTATGAGAGCGATTCGGGGGCCGGACGGAAGTGGTTTCAGACAGAAAGTGATGTAGTGGTGAGTTGTTAAGTGTGCACTGAAACATCACAATGATCACTTGTATGCATGAGCTTTTAAAAATCATTTTGTCATTCTAGCAGAACTGTGAAAACACTGAAACGCCCGCTGACCAGCAAAAGGAAAGCCCCTTTACTAAAGAAGCCAGTTTGAAAGGTACTGGATGATATTTCATAATCAATCGCTGATTATCTCAGACTTGATAAATTTGTCTAACATTGATTTATGGAACTGCAGATGGAGTCAAAGGTGAATCTACAGGATACGACAAAACGTCATCTGAGAAGTTCTGTTCTGGGTAAGTCTCAACTATGAAAGCATAATTCTTTACACCAATTCTGTTTTTTAACTCTCCAGAATAGGGAAGAGTGGGGTTTATCATCACATTTTTACTTCAACCTATACTAAGTTTATTTTAAATGGTATTTTAATGGCTTTTCAGCTCAATTTAACTACATAAGCAATTATGAAGCACAAAAATGGTTAATGGATTAGCCAATAAATAGTGGGCAATAAATGCTGTAATGAATTCTATATTGTAACATTTTGATAATTTATGTTTATATATATATATAAAAAAATCGAAGGCACCCGTCAAAAACCCTCTGCCTCCTTTGTTCGACGCTGCAGGGCTGCTGCAATATTATTATTATATTATTATAGAACCTAGTTAAATTCTGTCTTATATTTATTATATTGCTCACTGTTGTCTTAATGTATGTTGGTGTTTTGTTGCGTTTACTTGTTACCCACAAGTTATAAAAATAATATATGATGGTGTTGGAATTTTGATCTGGAGAACGGAATTCACAAACATTCATCATAATTTAAATGATCATTATTTTAAAATGACTATTCCTCTAACATAGCCTTATACATAGCCTCACATATTGGATGTTTAGAGAAACCTGTAGTATTTAATTCTAATCAGGTGATTGTTTCGTATATATATTCTTACAGTGAGGTAGATCACAAAAGCTTCAAAACACGACGATCCCCAGAGAATCTGACCTTTAAGGAGCGCCAGCAGCTGTTTTCTTTGGCAATGGTCACTTCAAGTAAAGCCAAAGTGTCCTGATGAAAAGGCAAGCCTCAGAGACTGTCAGTCATTCGGACAATAGTGTCTTAAACAAGATAAACAAGGTTTTATATTTCATGATGTGTTTCTAGACCGCTGCATGCAAGCTGTAAAATTGTATACACATAAGGTAACTGAGCCACTTTTTCATTTCTGTGACTAAAGATGACCCGCTTTATCTGAATTCACCAGTATTTTTCACATAGTGTCATTAAAAAATAAACTAAGAATTTATTCATATTGGAAAGAGGGATGTTGTATACTTTACCAGATATTTAGGTGATAGCAACTTATGCATCCTTCAACACTTCAAAAATAAAAAACATACATTGGAAATGAATAATTCTTTATTGCTTTGTATAACATTCATAAACATCTGCATCATAAATGTTTCTTATTTTACACCTTATTTTGTTGATAAAACTGCACCACCATTTGTTCCTGCTCTCTGGTTTCAATGGACCCTCGGCGTATGCTTCTTATCTCATTAATGGCATCGATTCCAGTGATTTTCCTGCTCTTCACCAGGTAACAGGCGAGCATCGTCCCCGTCCGCCCAAAACCATGCAAACAGTGCACCGCAACAGCCTGTCGAAGACAAACACTTCAGCATACACACATGCTTCAAGAGCTCCACTATGTAACTTTTGGCCCTCTAGCGGTTGAAGCATAAAAGTACAGGCTGAAAATGATCGTTTTGTCAGTGAATATCACACTAACAACATCAAAACTCTACTAAATTATGTCTTATGATCAGGTAAGTAGCTTATTTGCTGTTGTTGTTCGGTCAGTCATTTTAAAATAAGGTTACAAATGATAACGATGTGAACTATAACTTGCCAAGGCTATTTATAGCCTACTAACTGGTTTAGAGATTTGCTTTGTTACCAACGTGTGAAGTCAGTGTACAAAAAATGTGATGCAAACATGCAACTGGCATTCACTTTTTGCTTTCGGTTCGAGGTTCAGTCGGTTGAAGAAGATACTCACTATTTTTGTGATCACACAAGTGAATTATTATATTTTGCTGTATTCTCTTTTGAGTATTCAAACAATCCAACGAAAACATCTTAAAAATGCTGCTGTAATATTGGTTTTACATAATCAAAATTGTGCATTTATTATCTGATGAACATGCTAACATTAAAAGCTCTCGTTATGAATTAGAGTATATTAGCTACCATAACTATAAATAAAGACTTTAGATGACATGCAACTGTGGTCAAAAGTCAATCATAAATGCAAGAGAAGGTCTGCTGTTATGTCCCCACCGATGTCAAAATCCAACCTACGCCCTTGAGTATTAGCCTGGCCTTCTTTAATTAATAATTATTCTTTCATGAATTCATCAGAAATGATGTTATTATGTGCAGACGAATTATAAAAGCATGGGAAATCCATCCTGACAACTCTAAAAAGTAGTGTAACTTACCATAGTGACTTAGGATAAGGCGATGTTTTTTGTGATGTACTCGCTCATTATTTAAATTTGGTTCCTTTTTGAAGACAAAAACATTATTTATACACGGTTCATGGATTTTTTTTTTTTTTACTGAAACTTTTTAGTTGGACATTTGCCTAACATTTTTTAAATTTGACTACTTGTTTCAGAACGTTTAGAGAACTTTCAAATGGAACATTCCCATCAAATTTGCTAAATGATCAAATGGAATGTTCCTCAATGGTTGCATAACCAAGAAAAAAAAAATGTAAAAAAAAATGTAAACATTCACAATAAATGTTTTCATAACAGGACAGTTAGCAAAATATTATTAGAACATATATTTGATAGCTGTGATTATGTAGCTTTAATCAATATTTGAAAAACATAGATATGCATAATTAATTGGCCTGTTTTACCTGTCCTTTTGCATTGGCCTCCTCCACTATGGACAGGAATCTGTTGATTTGATCAAACGTTGGCGCGCAGAAGTCGTGAATCCTGATGTGATGAAGGGTCAGGTCTGGACAGGTGTCATGGTAAGGAGGTTTGCGTTCGCTCAGGGTCACCAGATGCTTGACGCCATTGTTCAGCAGGTACTGATAGTGGGCCGTCATTCGGGGCATTGCCAGGCCTGCAACCTTACCAGGATCTACCCAGGAGAAGTTTGGAGGTTGTGCCGAAGCCATAGTTTTTCTGATTTGTGAGTAACAGTAAAACATTGTTTACCAGTAAACAACAGCATTTCTGCAACATTACGGAAAAACTGTCTAATATTTAGGCCTACTAAAGTTTATGAATATAATAAAAAACAATTAAAAATAAAGAAATAAACAACTGTTACTTACTAAAATAAAATATGAAGCTATGTATGAAAATGTTTTATATTTTAAAATGTGAAACTTGAAATTCTAAAACGAATAAAAACTACAAAACACAACACAATTACTAAAACTTTAACTAAAATAAAAAACATACAATATCAAAAAAATCTTTAAAAACCATAAAATATTAATAAAATTAATAGCATATGAATTATACTAAAATATCACTCATTATAAAACAACATTATATTATGTTTGTGGTCTACACTGTATCATCTACAGGCGTGTGGGGTAAATTAATCAAGCATATTGATTGCAAATACAAGTAATTTGCTCTGTAGTCTGTACCTTGTTTAGTTCAGTGTTTTCTCGACGTGGTCCATATCAGCACTAAACGGTTCTCTTGTGAACACACTGATAACCACACACTGCTCCTTTTCTCTAAATACACATGCATTCATTAATATATTATTATTGTAGCTAATAAAATGTCAGATATAAATTCGATCTCTGGAACTGAAGACGGCGGTTCGGTACATGCAGTTCAGTCGGAACTGAAGCAGCTGTCGAGTTTGACCATTGGGTGGCACGCGATACTAACCAATCACTGCAGTCTGTGTTACATGCAGCTCTTCCTCCAGAGGGCGCACAAAGGCCATAAACCCGTATTTTCCATTGAAACACGGGGAAATCAGAGCGAGTGTTTTGTCTTAGTGGAAATAGCTTTTTCATTGAAAATTAAATGATTTAAACATATTAATTGCATCTACTTGCTGTCGATATGTATAAAAAAAATCGACGCAATAATCTCTGTAAAATGACAAAATAAAGTACTTTTTACTTTAATCATAAACGACTGTGATTGGCCCATTTCGACCAGCGCTGAGTGAAGTAACGTTTACCACGTCTCAGACTTTGCCGTCTGGAAAATACTTTACACCTGATAAACGACGCAGGAAGACTTCGACGAGCTAAAATAGTGGAATCTATCTTTAGACGTGTAGTACCTGACAACATTACTAAACGTCGATCTTTTTTTTAACTGGAGCGTCTCATGCTAATTGCTAATAATACGTTGCAGTGTGGTTTAACGTTTTTTTCACCAGGGCGTTCAAAGACGATCGTGTCAGAAAAGGTTTGTAGCATTGATACAATGCACTAAAGCACAATACATACGCTTAAATGTGTAAAATGTCGTTAAATGTTATGTTGTCTCACTGATAATAATATGAAAGAACTAGCATGGAATTAGCTTAGAGCATGTCAGGATGGCCGAGCGGTCTAAGGCGCTGCGTTCAGGTCGCAGTCTCCTCTGGAGGCGTGGGTTCGAATCCCACTTCTGACAAGCATTACGTTTTTGTGCAGGTTAAACAACTAGATCTTGTGTTAAGCTCATATTTTCAGTTTACAGTCATAAAATTCTCGCATATGGTAAGAAACAGCATACTGCTTTTGCAACACGCAGCATGCGTACTGAGTGTGCTCATTAAACAGGCGCAGTGAGTTCACAAACGTGTCAGATATTTCTGCTTGGAAAAAAAAAAATTGTTGCATACAGGTTTCCATAGTATTTTTAAAAATGTAGTTGTTAGACTAGATAAAATCACTCGTTACATTTAGTCATTTAGCAGACGCTTTAATCCAAAGCGATTTACAAATGAGGACAATGGAAGCAATCAAAATCAACAAAAGAGCAATGATATGCACGTGCTATAACAAGTCTCAGTTAGCTTAAAGCAGTACACGTAGCAAGGTTTGTGTTTTTTTTAATTATATAATAAATAAAAAGAAAACAGAATAGAAAAAGAATAGAGCAAGCTAGTGTTAGAGGCCTTTTTTTGCTTTTTGTATAATAAATAAAACAGATAGAATACAAAAAGAATAGAGAAGCTAGTGTTATTTTTTTTTTTTTAAGAAAACAAGCAGTTAGTAAATTAATATAATGCAGGTTTAAAAGGGGCAAGTTTTTTTTTAAAGAATATAATTAGAATAGAGAGTGCTCAAGTTAGAGGGCAAAGTGAAGATGGAAGAGATGTGTTTTTAGCTGATTCATGAAGATGGCTAAGGACTCAGCTGCTCGGATTGAGTTGTGCAGGTCATTCCACCAGGAGGGAACAGTTAATGTAAAAGTCTGTGAAAGTGATTTTGTGCCTCTTTGGGATGGCACAATAAAGCGACGTTCACTTGCAGAACACAAGCTTCTAGAGGGCACATAAGTCTGAAGTAATGAATTTAGGTAAAGGGGTGCAGAGCCAGTGGTGGTTTTGTAGGCAAACATTAATGCCTTGAATTAAAGGGATAGGTAAATGTAAAATGTATTTAGGGATCGTTCGCCCAAAAATGAAAATTCTGTCATTAATTGCTCACCCTCATGTCGTTCCAAACCCATAAGACCTTTGTTTATCTTCGGAACACAAATTAAGATATTTTTGATGAAATCCGAGAGCCCTCAGACCCTCCATAGACAGCAATGTGTATGCCTTGTGTCAGATTTCATCAAAAATATCTCAATTTGTGTTCCGAAGATGAACGAAGGTCTTATGGGTTTGGAACGACATGAGGGTGAGTAATTAATGACAGAATTTTCATTTTTGGGTGAACTAACCCTTTAACCAAACAAGCCAAACTCATACTGCTCAGTAATGGGAGTGGAAACATGCAAATTTGCTTGCAGTGTTCTCTGTGCTGTAATTGGTCAAATGTCATCAGTCTCTCTTTGATGATTGGCTGCAGCTTTGCTTTTCGGAATCTTTGCATATTTCGGAATGGTTGACAGATCGTCCGGATGCTGCAGCACAGCGGTTTCTCAGTTAACGGAATGTTCTCAGAACTTTGGCTAATGTTCTGGCAAGGTTCTCTCAAAGTTTTCATATTATTAGAATGTTTGTTCAAAATTATCTGGTCTTTAACAATAGTTGCATCCCAAATGACGCAGTTGTGTACACTAAGCACTTATGCACTCAACTGTGTAGTAGGGGTGGAAACCTCACATTTCGATTCATATCGATTTTTGGGGTCATGATTTTATTAAAAATCGATTCGCCATTTTTCATCAATTTTGTTGTGCACTGGACATCAAACGCACCAGTTTTTTTTTTTTATATACAAAAACACACCTGTCTATAGTATGAGTAGTCCTGACTTAAGAAATCAGTGTTTCCTATAAACTATTAACTTCCTAATAAATCAAAAATATTTTACACTTCCCATAATAACAAAAGATCAATAATTAAGATAATATGTTTCCAAACACTTGCCCTCGCTGAAAATGGGTCAGGATGTATTTGTTTTTCCACCTCTATCCTCATGTTATTATTTTGTTTACGTTGGACGTTTTTTTTATGTTACAGCTTGTTTTAGAACATTCAAAAGTAACATTCCCATAATGTTTGCTGGTAGACATTGACTTCCATAGCATGGAAAATACTATGTAATTTAATGGCTACCAGCAACTGTTTGGTTACCAACATTCTTCAAAGTATCTTCTTTTGTCTTCAACAGAAAAAAAGTAATTCATACAAGTGTGGAACAAGATGAGGGTGAGTAAATGATGACAACGTTTTCATTTTTGGGTGAACTGTCCCTTTAACGTTCTCATAACCATGAAAACACATTTTTAATCCTGGATGTTTTGAACGTTTAATGAACATTCAGAAGTAAAGTTTCATAACATTCAGAACATGTTGATAGCTGGGTAGAGTCACACCGCTTATGAAAAGTGGTTTTGTAAAGTCGACTGCATTGTGAATTTAATCTGTTGTGAGTTTGAGTGTTTGATAATCACTGACAAACCAAGTGGTTTATTACAAAAGAAATATGATACAAAACCAGATAATACACAACAGGATATCAGATACAGCTAAAACAAAGAACATTACATACTTTTTACACAAATTGTGCCTTAGCCTTAGTTTTAATATACATAAATCTGTGCCATTTACATGAAGGAGACAATTATAGTCTACAAAGAATTTACTTATTCATCTTCTAACTTGGAATATAGTCTAGTGGACTCTGTAGGACAGGAAGTGTCTTCAGACGATAATTAATTTCCTGCACTGACTCATTGCACATGTCATTTATGGATGTTTTCACCTCCGCAGTTCTGTCACGTTAAAGAATGAAGGCTTATGGGTGGTTTTAGTGGTGTAACAGGACATTCAGGTGTCACCATCACGCGATCTTGCTCAGGAACCCTGGGGAACTGCCACAACTGTATGTCCTCCTGCTGCCGGTGTGTCTTCATGTGGGCATTTCGACTTTTCACCTTTAAAAACACCCTATGAAATGAGGCAATCGTGAATCAGACCGCAACCACTGTGATTCATAATTGTATGAAGATGTTTCTGTGTTTGACTCAGGACGAGGCTTACTTTCCACACTCGTTGCAGGGAAAGACGACGGCTGAATCAGTGTCTCCACTGGTGGTGCTGGAGGGAGAACTTCTCACAGAAGCCGAACCCAAAGGAAGGGTCAGCGTGGACGTTCTGTTTTCGGCCGGAGAGCTACAGAGCAGCCGGAGATTGGTCTGGGTCCACGTTTCTTTGTTCATCTGCTGTGAGAAACATCGTAATTTTACCCAGAAACAAATGTTCTGTAATTACTTACTTGTTCCAAATCCGTTTTTCCACAAGACAGCAGTTAATAAGTTGCAAAATGGCCAAGGAAACACCCTAAATCTTAACATCCATGCAACTCATGTACTATATTCCAAGTCTTCTGAAGTAATATGATAGCTTGGTCTGAGTTACAGGCTAAAATTGTAATTCAACCTGAAAGATTAACTGTTGGAACTAGTGCTTTTAATGTGTTTTTGTTTTAATATGTTTTTGGAGATTGACAGAAGTCGTTGTATGGAAAAGTACACTTTAGAATACCTTCCAAATTAATACTTGTTATGGAAATAATATATTTTAAAAGGCTACATTTGAGTGTTAAAGGCACAATATGTAAGATTTTTTTATTAAAATATTCAAAAACCACTAGAACAGCGTTATATATTTTGCTGACTTGTGTACTTACATTATCCCAAATGTTTCGAAGAATGTTTAAATCCAGAGAAATAAGCAATTTTAACTAGTGACACGGACCGTGTCTATAGTGTCATTGTGTCGCCTGCCAATGACGTCATAACCCCTCGATTTCCGGTTTTGTTTTGTAGAAAACATGAAACCACCAAAGATGCTTTAATATGTTGTGCGTTTTAATAGACCGGTGATGACCGCACAGAGTAGGCATTATGACAGAACTTTCATATGTATCTAGTATGATAAAACAGCGCTACTTTACCCCACATACGCACGACCGGAAGGAGTGGAAGCGGTCAACTGTGGCATAATAAAAGCTCCGCTGCTTTCGAGCCGTGTGTTGCGCTCGTTTCGCTTTGACGGCTTTCAGCCTCACACTGCTTCATTCTACTACATTAATAAATCATTAGCTCATCCATGAACATGATTTCTGCCCGAGTCCCGTCGGATTGCATCGGCTGTGGGGATGAAGACGACAACTCCCATGATAACACACTCACTCAGTCACGGCGCCATCTAACTACGCTTTTGTCTATTTGTTTATTTTGAATACGCGCCCTCTA